TTAATGTAGCTTTTATTGTCTAATTTTAAGAGACATATCTAAAATAAAATTATTACTTTTATTGTAATTAACAATATTCTAGAAACTCCAAACTCCAATCTCAACATGTATGCTGGAATTTTATTTTATAACATAAAAGTTTTTCTAAAATATAAAGTAAGGACTATTTCCAGTTTATCATAGTAAGTGATTGCCCATATAGGAGCGGCATAGAGTAATACAGATGAAATCATTGAACAAAATAATTTTATGTAAGTAGAAGCAGAATTAATTTTCCTCTTGAGAGAAGAACCCAGTGCCATTTTAGCTTTATGTATACTATGATTTTTAGCCTGTAAGAATTGTCCAGAAGACAAAAATAAAACACCCAAGTAGACATAATTTGAAGCAACTTGTAAAGGTTGGTTGTTAAGAAACCATCTATCTCTTGATGACATTCAACCTCACTTTTTGAATACCATTACCTTTGTTTTTGAAACATTTATAATTAACCCATAGTCATGACATAATTCCTCTAGAATTACAATTTTCTTTTGTAACATTAGTGGAAGAGTCAGCCAAAATTAGTGTCAGCAGCATACATTAGTACACGTATCTCAACTTGATCAGACAGAGATCCCAGGTAAACTAGATTTAACAAGTTGCACTATCAGACCATTGACATACAAATTAAAAATCAGTAGACTCAAAATCTCACCCTGCAAAATTCCAATGTCGACACCAAATGAATCGATTGTTTCAGATAATATTTTCACTTTTGCAGCAGCTTTAGAATATATATCAAAATTAATGACAATTTTAATAATAACTTTTTAATATGCAAAAATAATTATTTTGTTACCAACTTATTTAAGTTTGTAATAAATTTTTGAAATTGTCTAAAGAATTTGTGGACATTGTATATAACAATAATATAGCACAAATAAAATTTGAACAATACAATGGGTGATATTGAACCTAGAATTGTGTTCTAATTTTAGTTTTACTTTTTTTTTATTTAATTATTAATAATTTGGAATTTGACTTTTAAAAATTTTGAATATCTCATCACGTAAGGCAAATTTATACAGTTGATTGACTAAAACCATAAAAGTGTGATCGTGTGATCCATACAAATTTTTAAGCCGTACATATTGTATAAGATGAAATTATTATGGGTTAACTTTGCTCACCTCTTTCGTACATGTACAGTTCTTCCATGCTTGCACCACAGTATTGCAGTCCTTAAAGTTAATACAATTGCCGGTTAGGCTGACTTTATATATTTCCAACGCCTCCAGGTTACGAATATGATCTGTTTGAAAGGCCTGCCCGATTAACTTGGTGTTCGGAATTTTCGTCGAAGTTCTGTTACTGGATAAAAGGTTTTGTTTGTATTTAATTAATTACTCCAGTAATTTGTGAAGACCATAGTTATAGTAATTAAATTAGAACAGAAGGATTAAAATAGCAAAACCAATGGTCTTTATTCTTTGAAAATTTTGGCATTTATTTATTATAAAGGATTGAAATTCTGTAGGAAATAAAAAATATATTTAGAGTTTATAGATGTGTATCCTTTCACCTTTTGAAGTTCTGATAATACTGCTTTAAATATATCTTAAATTTATTTTTTAATTGCATGTTTATTAAGGATTCAAAAATTGTATTCTGTAAAAATTTGGAGCATATACATCCTTAAAAATCAAATATATATATGTATAAAATTTTATTTACACTATTAAACAATTTTGTATTAAATACTTAAGTTATGATTTAAATTACTTTATATTTTCATATATAATTATACATATTCATATCATTTGAACATTTTTGTAGCTTTTCATTTTTATCTAAATATGAAATTTTTATAAACACTGATATTTTAGAATTGCTTTTCTTATATAAAATTATGAAATTACTAAATCCAGTCATTAAAAACATAAACACAACATTGAAATACATTAAAATATGTCAGTGTGGTTGTTATGAAAATAAACTTGTACTGTAAAATTGTATAAAAACATGTTATTTATTTATTTTTTAAATACCAAATTAATCAATAAATGTAATTATAAAAAAAATCAACATTTTCTCAGCGAAAGGTCTCAAAATTACAGGCCATTAATGAAACGTTTGCTATTAAATGTTTAAAATAGTGTGTAGTGATGTCTTAAGTGCAAAGGTGAATTGAAGACAAAGGTAAGAAGCAGCAAACAGTTACAGTAATTGTATTTGCATATGCTTATCTTTGAAGAATTTTAATAATAATTTCATTTTGTATATCTAGTTGTTATAGAAGCAATGATAGTAAAACAAGTAAATTTTTTATTTAATATACAGTATATGTGTGTGTAATGTTAAAATATTTAGTGAGTTCTTTAATTGACTGAAGGAACGTTTAGAATCTGATTGATTGTAATTAATATGTAACAAGGATTTAAGAACACAACCTTCATTTTGATGATCTCATTTGATTTTTATTTAAATTTTAATTACTATCTTTGACATATATTAAAATAAATACGAGTAGAATTAAAAATAAAGCAATAAAGGCGGCGATGATCGGTTGCTAAAAGGACTCCAGTCTTATGTGTGATTTATAACTTATGTTAACCCACATATAATAAAGGCCATGTAAACAATACCAATTTTAAGGCCAAAAGTCCATAACTTCAGCAAGTTATTCCTGACAAGTTTTGAATACTGATTAATAATATAGGCGAGTATTGTGGATAGAATTTCCTTTATATAAATCATGCTGTGACTAATCAGTTGTTATGACTGCAGGCAAATGCACCTATAATTTATGTTAACAAAATGGCTTTCCTAAATCAATCGCAAGCTAATTTTTATGATTAATCATTATTCAGAATCAGAGCTTTGATTATATTTCTGTATTATTGAGGAAATACAGTTAAAAAAGTTTGTGATGGTTTCCATTTTCATCATATCCGCATTTCAAAATAACACGAGTAAAAGTTAATAAATTAAAGTACATCGGTGTGTTGGCAAACCGGATATTACTCTAATGGAGTCTATAATGTTATTGGTTGACATCTTGACCTTTAACGTTATCGACTATCGTCCAATCTACACAGTATAAGACGATTTCGCTCCGAATCTGCCCGCAAGGAACGTAAGTATATTAGTTACCTAATAAGACAGTACAAAGAGGAAAAAATAAAATTCTGTCGTACAATTCGAGCGCAGAGTTAGATCTCGATTATAAAATTAAAGGACATTTATCTTAGAATAATTTTTATACGTGTCTAGTAAATTGTTTATACAGAGGACGTGTGTCTAATGCAATTTCTCGTTATCAGTTCGACGGAGCGAAGTTGGTGATAAGTTATTGATTTTTAGTTTTCTCTCATCGTAGGAATAATTGCGAAACGTTTCTCTAAAATGGCTGCGACTACGAAAAGGCAAAAATTAACGGGAGAAGAAAGAAAGACTAAACTCGATCCATTGAAAGAAAACGGATGGAACGAAGTAGACGGGAGAGATGCTATTTACAAGGAATTTCTTTTTAAGAATTTTAATCAAGCTTTCGGATTTATGAGTCGCGTTGCTATGCAAGCTGAGAAAATGGATCATCATCCGGAATGGTTTAATGTTTATAACAAAGTACAGATAACACTAAGCACACACGATGTTGGCGGTGTTTCTGATTTCGACGTACGTTTGGCAAATTTCATCGAAAATGCAGCGAAACCCCTGTTAAACAAATAAATGTATCTTGTCTTTTATGTTCTATGTTCTTGTTTATGTATCGTCGAAGATTAATTCGTGTGTCTAATGATGAACAATTTTATAATTGTTGATAATGCAATAAACAAATAAACGTTGTTACGCAAAGATCGAGGTCCTCTTTTTTTTCAATTAGCAGCGATATTAAATTATTAACCGAATTTCAATTATTTGTAGTAATGTTTTCGTTCGATAGACTGTAACATATGTTTGATAAGTGATGATTCTGAACAATCGAGAAGTTAACAAATATGATAACTTAGTATACTTTAGGTTGAGATCGTAATTTTTAGTACTGCAAGTCACGTTAAACTTAATGACTAATAAAAAAAATAAAACGTTTATAACAATTTTCCTCGTAGTTCAAGAATTCGAGTAAAGTATGATCTAACCTTCAGGATGTGGACTAGATTTTTAAAACAGGTTTTGTTTGCTTTTTTTCTTTTTTGTTATAGGGAATATGCGATAAATAAAGGATGTACGCTACATAAGAAATTATCTGTTATCTGCAATAATCTAGAAAGTAGCTATTGTTTGAGAAAACTATGTCAAATATTTAGTAAGTTGACAATTAAAAAATAATAATATAAATGTAAAACATTCGTTAATACTACCAAAATATATATATATATAT